AAAACGTATAGGGAGGCTGTGTCCTCTCAACATGCTGACTTGTGGATACACTCTGTAGAGAAGGAGTTCAGAGGTCTTATGGAGGCTGGTACCTTTGAAGAAGTAATGTAGCAACCAGAAAGTGTCATCAAGGCAAAGTGGGAGTTTGATTGGAAGTCTGACGAGTATGGATGGCCAACCAATGTGAAATCACGGCTCGTAGCGAGAGGAGATATGCAGAGAGTACACGTAAATTGTGGAGAGACGTATGCACCGACTGTAGCGGTTTCTAGCGTTAGCTTGTTGGCAGCGATGGCGTGTGAGCAAAATCTTTCTCTCCGTCATTTTGACATCAAGCAAGCATTTGTCCAGTCGGATTTAGATGAGCATGTATTCATGCGTCTGCCAGAGGGGTGTGGTAGATTTGTCAGGTATGATCGTGAAGTTGAACAAGAGTCTGTATGGCCTTAAGCAGGCATCAAGGCAGTGGCATTCACACTTGGCGAGGTGTTTGATTTGTTTGGGTTTTATTCAGTGCATGGCGGATACGTGTGTGTTTCGGTTGATTGAGGAGGGAAGAGTGGTAGTGACTCTGGTGGTACATGTAGATGATATATTTTCGATAGGAGAGGAGGAGAGGTGTGACCAGTTTGGCAGGGACCTCAACACCATGGTACCTGTGAAGAATCTTGGGGACTTGAGATGGTACTCTGGATGTTTTTATGAGAGAGATTGGGATGCAGGGACTTTGAAGATCTCGCAGCAGACGTACGCTGAAGAGTTGGGGATGGAGTTTGGGGTAGAGTACGGGAAGGAAATTCCTCTTCCTGTAGGGTTGAAGCTTTCAGAGTTTGACCAGGATGAGGAAGTGGTATCATGGCCTTTTCGTGAGCTGATAGGATCATTGATGTGGCTGGCAACGCAAACGAGGCCAGATATCGCGAATGCAGTAAGAGCGGTAGCACGGTACTGTGCCTCTCCCAAAGAAATTCATTGGAGAACAGGGCTTGATATTTTAGGGTATGCGGTACGGACTAGTGACTTGGGTATTACATTCAGGAGGCGTAGTAGCAGGGTTGAGCATGGAGGTGTTTGCAGACGCAGACTATGCAAGTAAGGCTGCCGATAGGAGGTCTGTGTCAGGGGGATTGGTGATGTGTGGGGGGGGATGTATTTCTTGGTTTTCAAGGACCCAGAAGTGCGTTAAGTTGAGCACGACAGAGGCGGAGTATTTCTCTCTTGCGGATGTGATGAAGGAAGTGTTGTTTCTGAGGCAGGTGTGGCGTTTCATGTTACCAGAAGCAGGCATGCCATGTATTCCGGTGTTCGAGGATAACCAAGGGGCTATTCAGTTGGCGCAAAACCCGATAAGCAACAGTAACTCGAAGCACATCGACGTAAGGCACCACTTTATCAGGGAACTGGTAGGCAGGAAGGAGATTTCGATTTTTCACGTGGAATCGGCGTATCAACATGCTGACTTTCTCACGAAAGCANGACTATTCAGTTGGCGCAAAACCCAATAAGTAACAGTACCTTGAAGCACATCGACGTAAGGCACCACTTTATCAGGGAACTGGTAGGCAGGAAGGAGATTTCGATTTTTCACGTGGAATCGGCGTATCAACATGCTGACTTTCTCACGAAAGCACTTCACGCGGGAGATTTTGAGTTTCATCGTAACTACGTGATGAGTATGGATTAATATCTTGGTGTTCGGGTTTATTTTGTGTGTGATCAAACAACTGGGGTGGCAACATTTTACATTTTTGCCTATGGTTTTTCTCAATGGATGATGTTCTAGGCTGGGGGGCAACNATTGATGTCTAGCCAGTGAGGCTATTGTTCTGGGGTTGAATTGAGTTTCTGATTTTATATAGATTTTCTTGTGTTTTGGAGATATTTAGGATCGAAAAAGACATGGCATGGTCACAAGCAGGGGGGCTGATAGATATACTTGTAGCAATGCCAAGTGGTTGTAGGATTGTGTGGTACGTGGAATGTATTTCCAGGGTGTGCAAGGTACCCCTGTTGTATACTGCGTCGCCCCCTCATGGTGGTGCGTGCACGCGTGCGTTCACTTCGTGTGAGTTCATGTGAGTTCATGTGAAGGAGAAGTTTATTCAACAAACCCTACACGTATTTCCTCCTTGGCGCGAGTTCGCCGAGTTGCCGACACCCTATTCAACACACGTCTTGCGACAAGC